CAGCATCGAAACAAATCTGCAATGCAGAACTGTCAGTAACAACAAGGAGACCAAGATACTCGGTGTGATCACAAAGATCAAAAACAGTGGGCTGCTCCTAGACAAAAACAACTTTTTATTCGGGCACAACAGGAGTAAAAATCTGGACAGCCGAATAATGGACTACATTCACGGCAGCTCACCACTCTTTGCGAATATCCAAAAGATCATGGGTGGTGGCAGTGGTGAGGCCTGTCGTTTCTGTAACAGCTTCATTGATTCTCCCGTACACCAGCTCCTATTGTGTCTGGAGGTGCAAGACACCAGTTACCTGCAACTGAAAGCAGAGCTGGGTGGGGCAGACTCACATTCCTATCTAGATGAAGTGTTAACAAAAAGCAGCACACAAAAAGTATTCATTAGGAGAGTCAAATTTCTTTGGGGACAAAAAGGATGCTCTCCAGGATTTATCCGACTAGAAATATCATGAAATAAAGACTCTGCAAACATCTCAGAGAAATATTACCACCATAAAGAACAAAGAGGGAGTATCCTGGACCCCGAAACTCACCACTTTTCTGTACTTTCAGAGGTACCAATGTGGCAGGAAACCAGGGCTCATGCTGCCGCTGAGCTAAAGCAGTAGAGGGGATGGCGGCTTCTCTAGGATCTAACACGTCCTGAAGCAGACCAACACTATGTCCCAACGCACTGGTGTTGGGATGTCTGCCCCCGGTGCCTGTCCGGGTCAATAAAGCAGTCAAGCATCATGTATGTTATGTTGAGCATTCTCAACCAACAAATGTGGGAACTCCCACGAAAGACCAAAACAGATCTAAAGAGACACTTAACAACATTGGAAAATAGACTTCAATTTGTTTATATAATTTATAACGCGTATATTATTGCCCACGTTAAGGGGCCTGTTAATAATTTATTAAATTATTAGCTATTTTAGATTTAATCATAATAATATGATATGATATGTTTTGTATTCTGTGTAAAATTATCTTTATCCCGGTTGTTGCGACAAGTAAAAATGCTCTTATTAAGGAAAGGAGATTACTCTACGTTTCAATGTAACTTCATCGTATTCATGATCTCTAATTATTTGTTATATAGTAGTGTTGAGAGTTTTAATACTTTCAACAATGCGACTCATAAATAATACTCCAATCCGGATTTTACATGATATGTTTTGATTGTTATTAATAAATACCAAAATTTTAATTTGTTTTCCTAAACAAGAATTGCGCCCGTTGTTTCGTTTTGGCGGACGCTAGATTTCCATTTCACATTTACTATAAATTTAAGTATAAGCTCCAATCAGCTCACTTCAATCTTCATGATAATAATATTGATAAATTATGCATTAAGTACAGGAAACACTTGAAATTCAGTTCAATTGCCAAAGAACTTAACTTGTAAAGCAAATAACTTAAATTGTAAGCAAAGGTAAACTATACTCGTGTACACATCAATACACTACGCGTGCCACGTACAAATTGGGCTTATAACCTAATATTATACATTACATCGTTTACATTAAAACACAGTTGCGCCGCGCATTCATAGATCACAGGCTATCTATACATCACATCTCCGCAAGCAATCCTCTCGCATGCGCGCGGCTTTTCCGTTGACATGGTTACTAACGGAAGTAAGGAAGGACTGACGACATATTCAGACCCACCTACGGCAATCTCCAAAATCCACGTTTTTCTGCAAAAACCTCCATTCGTAACCTTTCACTATTGCCTTTTTTCAAAAGGGTGAAAAGGAAAAAATTTGTTTTCCTATTTCAGGATTACTATTATTGAGTATTCACTTAAAAGTGATTGTCACTTTTATGTCCTTGTGTATCCTTGTATTTCTTGTATCCCTTGTATCCCTTGTATCCCTTGTATCACTTGTATCCCTTGTATCACTTGTATCCCTTGTATAACTTGTATCCTAGGCAAGAGCAATGTTAATCTTTATTTAATACCCCACCCAGGCCCAAGAGCAATCCATTCAATTCTCTCTGTGAACGAACAATATACAGCCTATTATAAGAGCCCAGATTTCCACTCAAATACTGGCAAGTGCATAATGCTATAGGACCTTAAAATAAAATTGAACCATACAAACTCGATTTATCAATTTTTCTAAAACTAGCATTATATAACATTTCTAAATTATCCCTACACACTTGTAAATAATTAGAATTGTGTAACTTAAATTATTTCAGAATTACAACTATTGGGTACTCAATAAAGTAATTATCACTTTTGTATCCTTGTAACCCTTGTATCCTTGTATCATTGTATCCTTGTATCCTTGTATCCTTGTACCCACTTTAAAATTTTAGTCAGAACTATATATACAAAAATAGCAGACTTAAATATAAATTAAGAGCCAATACATTAAATTGTCATTTGGCTACTTTTATTAAAAAGGGTTTTTATAAAGTATTTAAAGATGGCACGTATTCTGCATGCCTGTTATAGAAGTGTAGGGCTGTATAAAAAAATTTAAAAAACAACACCATAGTATGACATCATGACGCCGTATCCTTGAGATTACATTTCCTTGACATTTCCACGACAGGGTAGAAACGCATGTTTCATTTTAAGCACAGGCTTCTGGATCATAACACTCCAAAAATTCGTAGACAGAAAGCCTACATTGCTAGTTTGAATTTGTTCGATTAGGTTTTGACTTTTCTTGATTCTATTGATTATTAAAACGTTTTGTAACATTTCAGTATGAGATTGAATTGGAATTTTACATAGTTTAAAAAATTGTATACTGTATAGCCCTTATTTTGTATGTTACTCACTCATCTCCATTTAGATAAAATAAGATTTGAATTAGTTAGCAAGCTAGAATTTTTAAAATCTTGCTTTCAGTGAGGGTGAGTGAAATTGGTAGAAATAACCATACCTATTATCATTGCTTATTATCATTAATGTAACATGTAAAAAGCATACTACGCGACGTTTAAATAAGTAATAGCAATTAACATTTGTTACCCTCAGTCATAAAAACTGCAGTATTATGGCAGTTGTAAGTGACGACAACATAGAAAAGACGGTTCCAGATGAGCCTCGACCTGCTGTGTACAGATTTGTTCAGGAAGCATTGGATGCTCTTATTGTTAAGCATAATTCTAAGATAGGAGAGAAAGATGATGGTAATTTAACTGGAGACTTAAACAAAAGGTGTAATCAACTTAATTCTGCTAAGTACCTGGGTACCATGGAACACAGCTATGAAGAAATGGCACCAAGACTTGCATACCTCCTTCTTCATTTCACCCAGCACACATACCTTGTTAATAGTATCCTATCAGATGCATATGCTGCTTGCACTAACTTACAATCCCGCACAACTGTCTTCAATGAGTTGATGAGATCAATTGATTGGGGCCGCATTAGTATCTTCAGTTTTGGTGGTGGCCCTGCTGCAGATGTAGTTGGTGTCCTCATGTGGTTACACAGGTTTGGGTTTCAGACCAAAGTCCAGGCTGCAATGGCTGATACTTGCAAACAGTGGGAGGCTACTACAAATTCAGTGTTCAAAATGATGCAGTTTGAATCAGAGGACGATAATGCTAAACCTACTCCTCAGCAGAAATACACTCATAACCTTTGGAAGCGGTTGGATGGGGGTATCAAATATTTTAACTCCAGTTTGAAATCACCTACTACTTTGTTCAAATCAGGTTCTAAAGAAATGATTGCGATTGGACAGGCTGACATAATCACCCTTCCCTTTGCTTTGAGCTCAGTAGCAGATGCACCTGAAACATCTAATGCTCTTCAGGGTATGTTAAATGCTGTGAAGCCTGGTGCACTTCTTGTCTATGTGGACCACACTGAAGGAGGACAAACAGAACTGATTAACAACTTGGCTTATTGGTGCGGCATGAGACGAATCTATTTCATGAAGGAAATGAACTACACTATGCCTAAGTATGAAGAAGCTGATATCTTAGAAAACTATGCTAAAGATTTAGATGACCCTGTCCCACGTGAGAGTAAAGTCACAGCCATAGTCTACAAAAAACCTAGTGGCTATTCTTACGACAGAAGGATGAAGATGAGTAGACGTGAGCAGAACAACATCAAACAGGCTCAGATCCGTCTCAAGAAAAGTAACCCTGACTTCAAATTGTTCCGCCCCAGTTTCTACTGACACTGGTAAACTGTACATGTATTGACTTAATTTATTAGTTGAATTTATGGATTTTTGTACACCACCTCAGAATTTGCTCAATGTTTTTTTGGGTAATTTCAAGCTCTTTAATTTATTCAATCTTTCAAGGCTAGATAAAACCATCAGACATTGATGCTAGCAAATTTTAATTTTCTAACTTTGTAACTTGTGCATTGTATAATTTGAACGTTGATTGAATTCTAGTTTGAAGTTTTTATTGTCTAAAGTTCAATTATTGGGAGGTTTGTTAATGATATTTTTTCCAGTTTAATTATGGTTTTTGGCAAAATCACTGGTGTATGGTATGTATGGTATGTATGGTATGAGCTTGTTTTTATACGATTATTGGAGTACTTGAATGGAAAGCTTTAATTTAAATGATATATTATATGCTATATATATTATTAGTACATTATATGCTATACCTCAGATCGAATCTGTCCCAAGATTTTGTGATTTAATTTTGATTGTATTTAAATCAAAAGTTTGCACTCACTCAAATTTTTCATAATATGAAAATTGTTAAAGTTTTTATTCATTAAATTCGTTTTATTGTGTCAAAATTTGTTTCTATTAAAATTAGTTTTATTAGATGAAATCGTAAATTTACATATCCTCACGATTAGTTAACCTTGTATATATAATTTTTATTTCAATTGTTTTGATTTATTATCAACTTGTGTATATCGGGAAGGTGATGCAAGAAATCTTGCAAGAAATCTTGCTCTCCCTCTTCGAGAGTTTATTAGATTATTATATTATATTTACCACACTTGTTGCCAAACTTCATTCATAATGTATAATATTGATAATATTTATTCTATTGTAGGATAAATGATAGGATGAAGAGCTGCTGTATCAAATGAAGATGAAAAAGGATGAACTTTGCCAATATCACCGCCGCTGAGCACAACCCTTTACAGAAAAGACTTAAGATAGAGGTTTGTCTACACTTGTACAGCATATTTTAGTTAAGTTACACATTTCATAATAGTTTAGGTAATTCCTTAAAATAAGGACTACTCGAATTCTCGAAAGAAAAAATGTTGTGTAAGACTTTTCCTTTGTACACACCGGTCATATACAATATACATACCGCATCTAAGGTATTGTAGTTCTATCCACCCCCAACATATTCCTATGTCAATAGATAGATTTAGGGACAGTAAAGTCTCTATTTCTTAGAATGTATTATTATCCTTTAGTCCCTTTTATAGTGATTATACCTGTATGACTAATAGAGTAATAGCACTTGTTTGAGGTCCGCCCTTCGCAACACATTTAATTGGACACTTTTTAAAGAAATGGTAATATTTGTATAGGCCTTTTGAAATAAAATCCTCCAAATGCAATGACTATTCTCATAGTTATTGCAACAAGTATACAGTACTTATTCAAGGTCATTATACAATATACAATATACATAATATAGTCTTGTGGATGCGCGTTTTGAAGAAATACCTCGATTCCAACTTCAAAATATTTCAGATTGACACATTCATGTATACATTTGTGAAGAAATGTGTTCGATTTGTTAGTTTTAACTAAATGTTAAACTATGTTATTAAGTGTTAACAATTAATAACTTGTTGCAGTATTTTACTGTTCAACTATTTAACTGTTAACTGAATAGTAGAGACAGTATGTCATGCTATTAGCATGGGAGAAAGGAGTGGCTCAGCTAAATCAGTCGACTATCACATGTATATAGATTTTGATCTGGTTAAGTTATTCCTTGTCAGTATTCAAAGCAACTTGCTCTCAATCAGTAACCACTTTTCTTTATCGGTCAAAATATTCAAAGTTTTTCTTTATAAAAAGTCTTTTTCGTTGACGTTTCCGATCATGATTTCACATGAAAATCTAATTAACTGTGCAACTGCGAATTATTGGTTTAGCCACAAAATAGGTTTTACCTCCTAACAATGAGCTTTAAAGAGCTTACCTGCTTTACTGTATGCGTGATATTTAGATCACAGCGATTCTCAAGAAATTACTTTTTCCTAAAGCAATTTAAAAGAATCGTCTCGAAACAATGAAGGCAGAAGCCAGAAACTCAACGAGTAAAGATTACGCCAATTGATCATGGTCATTAAATATTGCAAATTTAAATTTATTGTTTAACTTTCAGTGTAAATAATTCTCATTCAGTCGTGTCTGTTGTGTGCGACTAGTTACTGTAATTATACAGTAAACCTCGTTTACCTCTGGTTCTTCCGATAAGAGTTCAGAAAGTAATCTTGTGGAATATTTTCTGCCACAAACTGCTTAGTTACAGTGTAACTTCAGGAGCCACAAACTGCTTAGTTACAGTGTAACCCCAGGAGCCACAAACTGCTTAGTTACAGTGTAACCCCAGGAGCCACACACTGCTTAGTTACAGTGTAACTTCAGGAGCCACAAACTGCTTAGTTACAGTGTAACCCCAGGAGCCACACACTGCTTAGTTACAGTGTAACTTCAGGAGCCACAAACTGCTTAGTTACAGTGTAACCCCAGGAGCCACACACTGCTTAGTTACAGTGTAACTTCAGGAGCCACACACTGCTTAGTTACAGTGTAACCCCAGGAGCCACAAACTGCTTAGTTACAGTGTAACCCCAGGAGCCACACACTGCTTAGTTACAGTGTAACTTCAGCTCAGGAGCCACAAACTGCTTAGTTACAGTGTAACTTCAGGAGCCACACACTGCTTAGTTACAGTGTAACCCCAGGAGCCACAAACTGCTTAGTTACAGTGTAACCCCAGGAGCCACAAACTGCTTAGTTACAGTGTAACCCCAGGAGCCACACACTGTTTAGTTACAGTGTAACTTCAGGAGCCACACACTGCTTAGTTACAGTGTAACTTCAGGAGCCACAAACTGCTTAGTTACAGTGTAACTTCAGGAGCCACAAACTGCTTAGTTACAGTGTAACCCCAGGAGCCACACACTACTTAGTTACAGTGTAACCCCAGGAGCCACAAACTGCTTAGTTACAGTGTAACCCCAGGAGCCTAACATGAAGTGTTCATAAATCCCTGAGAACGACCATACCTTGCGTGCGTCAGAAATACGTCACGAAAATGTGGTCTAAACTAATTAATTGATCGCGAAAATTGAATAAGTATTTCATTATAGGAGTACTGTACTACTAAAATGTAATCGTTATTTCTTATCGAATCTTCAGACCCAGACGAATGTTCTTTGATATAACATTTTTAGTCGGCTAATTCGTTGTCCCTTTTTGGAACTATTCTGGTGCATCAATAACTTTAACTATATAATATCGATTTGGGTTAACCAACCTTCGGTGGAAAATGAAATGGTGCAGTTCTTCTGTATATTATATTGCCATGTGTTTTGTTCCATTTTTAACTACATGCGCTGTAATTAAAACTTCGCATTAGTACTAGGGGGACCCCTCAAATTTCTTCAAGATACTCGAGGGAAGATTCTGCCGGGATTATTACCAGTAAGTGATTACAACATGACAGTGTTTCTCAACCTCGTGTTGTTTGTGTACGTTTTTAATGAGTATGGCAATTAGAGGATAAGGCTATAAGGAACGTTGCGATTATTTGTTTTTACTCGATCAGCAGATTCCACGTTCCTGTTCCCCATTCCCTTAAAATAATTTCTTTGTTATTGTAAGACCAAACTGTCAAGCAGCTCTTCCTCAAATGGTATGTCACGTGGTGTACGAGCGGTTACCAGATAGGCCAGCAAAACTTTGTGATTATGCAATGTGCCATTGTCTTCTTTTGTTTTGACAACCTTGAGCTATTTTCAAATTTCAATCCCCGTTCAAAAACATATCTTAAATCAAACCTTCTATTATTTATTATTTACAAATTATTGACACATTTCTATATTACTTCTGTCCTTTTTTTGGTAACTGGCGGCACTAAACTTCCGCTGACAAAATATAACGTTTAGGTAGTTTTTGGTAATTACAAAAATACACTTCCCCTTATTAAGATGTAAGAGTTTTATAAATGTAAAAGTTTAGCGTCCGAGGTTTGCAGTTTACGCCCACATTTCGGTGCTTGAGGATGTTTATTTTCAGTAAAACATGGATTGCTGCAGATTATACAGTATATCATGTAACATGTCAATCAGAAAGTCATAACCATAGAAGTGTGGCCCAATGGTGTTTCTTTCTATCTAACATACACAAAGTTCAGTGTCTTAACATACAAATTGAGTTTAGTATCTTGCTTTAGGTGACTTCCTTTAACAATACGTCTTACAAACTAGCTTGGACTGTTGCCAAGCAGCCATTATCTTTCCTGTATCTCTGTATGCAGAGTCACCGTTAATTGCCTCTTACAGTCATAACAGCAGTTCAGTAACTAAGGTTAAAGGTAGTAATTGCCAGGTTACCTGCAAGAAACGTGGTATAAAATCAGAGCATTGTATCAAATCTTCTAGAAGATAATGCTATATTTTTTTTATTGAAATCTTTCAATTATTATCATCAGAATTTATTACAATATCAATGTTGTATAGAATTTCTAAAAATGGACTAGAGAAACCAAAAAATGCCTTGACAAGTGTACAGCGATGATAACAATCAGGGGACACCAATACACCCAAATAACCAAACAAAAGGCCTCGAGAGACCTGATGAAAAGTCGAGCAATTACATTGGGCCCCAAGTGCAGAAGGAGAAAAATGGGCAAATAATATGAGCTGTGAACTTAGGAGGCATTTCTAGGTTTTTAAGAATAATTGCCACAACCCAAAAATTCTCAATTACAATTGGCTGATTTGTAATATTTCCAATGGAATGAAGTTTTAACGATAAAATTTAAATAATTGAATATAAAAGACTAAATCAAAATTGTATCCGAATAAAGCAAAAATGCGTGATGAGTACCTCAAAAAAAATTAAAACAAAAATAATAGAGAAATACACTACCCGTAGTCTGGAGAAAAAGAATTGTCAGGATCTGAACTAGGGTCAATATCTACAGATGCAGTACAAACATGTTCCTTCCAGATGTGTTTAATAAGTTCTGTTTTAAACACACCTGGTCTGATAATCTCTCGAAGGGAAAGAGGAAGTCGGTTCCAAGTGAGATGAGCTCGATAAAAGTAAGATTTAGATATAGCTGAGCCAGGTGGAATTGAAGATATTACTGATAAGTGATCAAGATGTGAGCTTCTCAGTCGGCTTGACCCGGAGAAGAAAGTAAGGTACTGAGGCAGAGTGGTGCATGGGTGGTATTGATGCACTAGGGAATGAAAGAACTTGAGATCATGGTAATCAAACCTGTACTTTAGGGGCAGAATATTTAACTGTTTACAATGGGCATTATAGATTTCCTCTACACTATAGCTTACACCGTAATCATTACGAATCCATTTGAGGGCCCTTTTCTGCAATCCTTCAAGCCTATTGATAGTGCTACTGGATAAATATATAATATATATAAAAATATATTTTCTTAAAGATTGAACAACCGTTCATTTACTTAATGGATAACCAAAATATGATGAATGATGCTGATTTCTGGCAATTTCCTTCACGATTTGATAGCTCGACAAATCTTTAACTTCGACGTCATTGGAGCGTACTTTGGATTGAAATGCTGATCGGGAGCAAGCGATTTTTTTAAATGATAGTTTACACATTTAATTTCTAGCGAAACTGTATCAAGTAAGATATACGTTGTTCGGTAGGAAGTTTAAACGTTTCAATGTACCACAACAATTCAAGTCACAACTATCATGTAATCCTGAAGCTTCATATATTTTCTCCGGGAACTGGTCACGAGGGCGGAGGTCACAAGGGCGAAAGTCGATCACAGGGCGGAAGTTTCCTGAAACGATCACATGACTCCTTTTATCATGGAACCATACACCGTCCTAAATGTTGAACTAGTAATACTTCAAAACCTGCAACATCATACACTTACTTGATTAGGTCTCCTCAATCATTCGAGTGGCCTGGCTGCACCAAAGAACTCATGTTTGTGTCGTAATCTCCTTCCAGTGTTTGCAGTAGCTAGCCATCTCGTTCGCTCCTTCTCGATCTATATCAGTGTTTCCTGAAAACGCTGCAGCATCTTCCAGCAAACATTTCATCCACAACATCACACAACTTACTTCTAAATTGTAGAAATTATATTTCTTGGATCATTTTAGTGATCCTGGTTACGAATTTATTGTAACTTTACTTACAAAACACACAGGGTTATAGATAACTTCAAACGCTTAAAGTTAATATAATTTACAATGTAATCAATCAATTTTGTCAAAACCCGAATAAAATAATATCACTACATAAATAATTCACATAGCACGTATAGTCATCTCCTTATAGATGTCTAGAGATCTCAAGTTTTTGAAAAACGTTTTAATTTTGATAGGATCTCCAGTGAAAAGATATGCAGGGTGCAGAGTTACATAGAATTAGAGTAATGTAGATCTAGATATGCGTAATGAGTATAATACGACCACTTGGTCACGTTTCATCTGTACTGCAGACAGCTCTCACAACTCTACATTACCTTAATTGTGGCCCGTCTGTACACTAATCATAATTGTTAGAAACCACCCGAATATTGTGCTTTACCATGGCATATACCCTCGACCATAGCAGCCTACAATTTGACATATAATGTATCTGGATTGATCGAACTGAACTTCCCGCTACTGGCCTACATATCTGCATAATAAATGGAGATTTAATGGAACGCGCGAAATATTTAGCGTTGTAGTAAGCCAGGCGCCAGTCAGTGATTAAAAGCGCACGACCTACATTTTTTGTGGACTGTAGATTTGCTGAAAAGATACACTTCGCGTGTTTTCCTAGTTCATGACATCACTTGTCCAGACCGTTACACAGAAAATAAATAATCCTCCATTTCAGACGAGATCACCACCTCCATCAAGTTCGTATACTGGCATGTGCCCGACCTCTTCCAGTCCCCAAATGCCGCTACCTCCTCCCCTCACTTTCAACAGCACGAAGAATAAGTCCAAGCAGCAGGCGGCGCTTGTCTCCCCAGTAAATGGCGTCCCGTCGGTAACGCCCTACACTGGTCAGGCACCCCAGAGCTGCCAAGTCCAGTCACAGCAACAGAGAAATAGAGAGGTAATATATCATTCTTTGGTATTCGTGGTCGAAGTAAGCGGTATTGCGGTAGTTTTAATTAAATAGGACTCTCATGACTGTGGGCCAAAAGTTTAAAAGTTTAGGTTTTGTTTTAAAGTCTTTATGTTAAGTTAGATCACGTCTTAGATTCGAAGCCATCGATGTGTTACCCTTATATCAGGCCTGTGTTTAACATTCCTGTCAATACAATGAAATTTACACAAGCCTTTTCAGCCAGTCGTCTGTAAACACTCAACGGAAATGCTCAGCAAACTGAACGCAATCTCCAAGGACCTGATAGCCCTAGCTGAGCTGGTCAAGGACGTACAGAAGCAGCAGTCACAGCTAACACACCAACTATCAGAAACCAAGGAACGTGTCTTGCAAAACACCGATTTGATAAGGACAGTAAGCGAGCAGTTCAAAATTCAGATGTCAACCTTGCTGCAAGGTCAAGTCGAGCAAGCAGATATCGTCCGAGCTACAAGTCTCAAGTATGAGGAGCAGATGAGGCTCTGCAAGGAGGATGTCGGCATTTGTCAGAACATGTGCAGCGACATAATGAAGCAAAACGAGGGTTTCACCTCTACACTTCAGTCGATACGTGAGGCTGTGATGCAGACAGCGCAGAATACCAGCACTGCCGCACTGGAAGCAGCAAGTAACACTCAGCTACAGAACGCTGTGCCACACCTTACACACGATCCCATGCCAGCCAACAGCTCTTTACCACCTAGCAATGATAACATTCATCCCACTAACCTACAGCAGCAGCAACAGCCGTCCTCCCAACCCATCCAAAACCAGATTCAGGTATCTAACCCCTTTATCCCTTATATGGGGCCTGCTCTTGTGCTCCTATAATTGTTGAAGATTTTCGATGTTTACACCATCTTAATTTGTTGAATATAATATCGCGTTACATAATATCCACAATGCCTATATATATATATGTTAAATATGTTACGAGATAAGCGACAAATGTCTATTTTATTGAAGTCCATGTGGTGGGCTGCAGATCGGAATTTCACGGAAACATTCACCACCCACTTTCGATTTACAGCATACATTTCGCTAGATGTCCACTGTACAGCCTCGTATACATTGGTGCTTTATATAAGGCTTCCCGAATAAATATTTCAAATAAAATGCGTGTACCCTACATTAGGTATAACCCGTTTTTATCCGACAGACGAACCAAGGTCAGGGTATACAAGTGCAACTAGCACCAGGCAACTACACAACTGCTCCCACTCTGCAGCATTTGAACAAGAGTAATCCCGGTCCAGCGCAGCCTATGCAGATCCAACTTGGTGATAACAATAAATACTATTGTATTGGACCTAATGGGGTATGTAGTCTCAATGTTATCTCTAAAATGATCCAAGTTAGAATATTAATTACCTGCTTGTAACTGTGGTACACTGTGGTACACTGTGTACACTGTGTACACTGTGTAGTTCCGGCACTCTGATTAAACCCTAATTAAGATTAGTTGATTGGCAGTCACTAATAATTTGCCCCCTATTTCAGGTCCAACAGTCTATTCAGATGTTTAGTGTGCCGCCACAGCTCCTTCAAGGAATTCAAGCAATTCAGAATATCCAGGGAGGCAACAACTTGGTGCAGATAGTGTCCCCAGCAGCTGCCGGACAGATCAAACAGAAGTCTAATAGGCCCACTGAGATCAGGCCAAAGACAGTCTCCACACCAAAGAAGATGGAGACAAGCAATGGTCTCTATCCTCCAACATCTTGTAGTGTCAACAACTCCTCTCCTAAAACGACCAACATTCTGGAAGAAGCGAGCAAGGTGATTCATAAAATATAGCCAAAAATATTGGACAGCTAAGTTTAATTTTCTGATAAGTCGCTGTCAAAATTACTATAGGTTATTTTCTACTTTGTCAAAAATGAATATATTAAATACCATTAATCCTCAGGTCCTGTCAAATCCGAGTATGGAACAAGACTCTGACAGCTCTTTCCACCTCTACAACCACAACAACTCTGAAAAGGACGCCCTGTCCGAGGCTATCATGACAATCCCGACCACGTACGCACAGCACGGCAACAACACGAACTTCAAGTTCGAGTGCAGCGATAATATGAACGATGGGAACCACGGTGATGAAAGCAGAGCGATGCAAGTGACGTCGGAGATGCTCAGCAAAGCCATCAACGTAGTGGAGGGTGATCACAATCTCTACTTTGATAAGGTAATAAAAGTTCCTTTCTTTGTCAGGCTGTTTTCTATCGTGTATCTGGTATCGCCTCCACAATTTCGAACACGAATTCCTAAAATTATCCGTCTTATTTTTTGAATTTTTCAGGTTTTGATAGGTCCTAACAACGGCGATAACCAGCAACAGAAACAACAGGATCATCACGTGCAAATCCCTTCGTTTTTACCCGAGGAAGTAATAAACTGCGTCTACAGGAAGAGCAAAGAACCTTCCATATATGCACTTAACATTTGTCGTGAAATCCTCACTCGAGAGGAGTTCATTAACAATGACTTTAAATCTTTTGTCAGTAAAAATCCCCTGAAATACAAATTCATCGAACACTTGTTAACGACAAAATTTGGCCTGTACTCAGATCACCTTCAGAGCATCCTCAAGGATGTGCGGATAAAATTTAACAATTATCATCGGCACGTGAAGCGTTCTGTGCGGTTAAAGGAGATCCAGAAACAGGAACAGCTTCAGTTGGAGATAGAAAGACTGGAACAGCAGCAACAAGAACAGCAGCGGTCCACTGATGAAAAAATGTTGGAGTTATTAAAACAAGAGCCCACCTCAATGGAAGACGGTTCATACAAACTGATAGCTCCAAATCAAGGCCAAGCCACTACGTCGTTTGCTTCCCTAGTCCCAAACCACGGGCAGCCCTCAACAACCTTTGCATCAGACAACAGCTGATCACCGTGGCAACACCAGCACTGGTGATAATCACGTGTCTTGCCCTGCCCTAGCCCTCTCTCTCTCTCTCTCTCTCTCTCTCTCTCTCTCTCTCTCTCTCTCTCTCTCTCTCTCTCTCTCTCTCTCTCTCTCTCTCTCTCTCTCTCTCTCTCTCTCTCTCTCTCTCTCTCTCTCTCTCTCTCTCTATCTCTCTCAGGAGGTCCGAGCCAACCCTGTTGAGGAACGATGAGATCGACAGAGAGTCTGGTATTTTGTTATCATTTGGTTATCGGTTCATCTTCTCAAGGGACAGTTCCAGTGGTGATGCAAGGAAATCTAAGAAAATTGACCCTCTCAGCACTTCAAGCATCCGAATTCCCTTTAAAACGCAAACTTTCTTGCTGAAAACAAACTCACGAAGTTGTTGTATTTGGATGTTAGATTGAGAAAGTGTATTTTCTTGAGCAGTTCATTATGTTGATTGTCGCTGTTGAATATATGATGATATATGTGCAGATGTATATTTCAATCCCTTTAATGAAACGATAGATCAGTATTTATACAGTGTTGGTTTTAAGGTACACGATATTAATAGTATCTATTGTTATACTGGTGTGCTACGTTTGGTTAGGAATATTAGCGTCACTCTGAAATGGATAGGATATAACGGGGACGAGATGGCCATTTTCCGGTCCCTCCCAGCCCCCCGTATCATTTGTTTCCTGATCTGGACAATAGTACCGAACCAAAAATTTGTCCAGCACTGTCATACGCCTTCGAGCCCATATAATTCTGTAGACTTGGCCTATTAAAAGGTAGAGCTCGAAATTTGTTTGTTTCGACGCTTAATTAACAGCACATAACGTGCCAAAACTAAGAACTATTTCTCGCCTTACAACCTGTTCTACATTATACTTGCCAATTGCCATGTGATTTTATTGTACGATTATTAAATATTGTTCTTTTAATCTGAATATATAATGTCTGTTCACGATTTTGTCTATATATATTATGATATTTTAAACGTTATAGGTTCATAAAGTTGGTGTTACATATTTTTTGCTCCTTTTACACTTTTTTCCTTTAATAATATATTTTAGCCTCAAGAGTTTTTATCTAGTTACATATCACCCGAGCACCTGGTTTGGTTAAAACGGATGGTTTTTTATTATATCCTAGATGATGTTTCAAGCATAATAGTGCACGTGGTGTATGTCTTCAAGTTTGATTACTTGATTTTTAGTTTATTTTTATACATTTTGTTAATTTTTGATTTCATAAACTGATTTCCACGGTGGAATTCTCAAGTACAGGCCTCGAAGTGAACTCACGACGATCAATTTTTTATTGTTTTGCTTTGTTGGTTGTCTCCTGTGATGTTGGTTTTCTCCTGTGATGTTGCAGTTGGTTTTACATGTATGATTGTACGCTTCGTCGGTTTAATCAATAAGGTCCTGAAAATATTTATTTTCATGAAAAATAATGAAATTTTTTGCGGAAACTCTTTGAGGCCTGATCTGTATGATACTTTAAAAAACAACAACTGCTTTATCGATGAAAATAATGATGTAAAAATTTTGCGATTTCTTGGATAAAACCTTTCCTATTAATCAATCACAGTAAATTGATATTGTTAAAAGCTAATTCAACTTATAGGTGCTTAATAAAAGTTTATAGAATATACGTTAACTTGATTATTTGGCACAGATAGTGTTAATGTTATAAATCCCCGTATCATTTTACATTCTGAAGAAAATGTTATGCGCTTACGCTTAGCCCACTTGTATTATTAACCAGACCTGGAAGTAATTCACAGAATTATATATTATAAGGTCACTTTGTTAATGTAATAATTTATTTTAACCAAATATTATACACAACTTCTTATTTACATGTATGCTTCATGTAATTAATGTTTTTAAGGCTTCACCCCGCTCTCAACTGTACACCTGTCAATGATGTCTAGAACCAGCGATATGTAATTCCTGTAGTTCCTATCATTCTTAAGAATTTGATACCAGACACTACTGGGTGGGCTAGAGAAAACTAATTTCCACATTTTACGTAAAATTTTCACATTCTCTCATTTGTTTTGTACCTACGACGAATAATTTTTGGATTTCACTTTCCAATATCACTATGATTAGTTAATTTTGGACAGTGGGCTCATATAAATGTTGACATCCAAAATCGGTCTGCACTATCTTAGTTCAGATGGTTGATATCATACTAAAATTATCAGTTTTCTCTGGCCCACCCTGTACTACTGTAGTCTGGTATCATGACGTAAGCCAAAAGAAGCCCGGTTTCTTATATCTGAATATTTTAGGTCAATGTTGTGACTGTACAAGACCGGTCAAGTATGAAGTTCAGTGCATCTAGATTGAAAGAGCTAAAATCAAAACTAGCTTCTGGTAAGTTCACGCGATATTAAAATGCGTTTGTCGTTTAAACAGTATTTATGGTCTTATCATCACCAAAATATATCTCTTTATGCATATTCGTAAAATGTATGTTTAATTGACCTTCAAAACATATTACATATTATGTTTTATCATGCTTTTATTTTTCAGGCGAGATCTCCAAAGTTGAATCTGCTGAGCTTAAAAAATTAAAGAAACTCAAAAAGAAGAAGCTGCAAGAGAAAGGTAAATCTCGAAGTTTTCCCCGTTGGTTAATACTTTAAAGGGTCTAAATTTCGACTATTTGAAAGGGTAATTGATTTTGATGAGCCGTAGGCTTAAGTAAATGGATCATATTTCATTATTTTAAATCGCTATAATATGATCTTGCAGCAAATCTGCAAATTAGCTAGAAACTATGACTAATATAGATTTGTTCAGGTAACACAAGTAGTATCTCTACCGCCTCATTCAACACTACCCTCAACACAACTCTCAACACTACTATTGGTGATGATGAGGTGTCCTTCAGTGGCGAGAAAGACGAGACTCAGATTAAAGATGTGATTCTCGCAGTTGAGGAGGATGTGAGTCCTGTAGTTGAGGAGGATGTGAGTCCTGTAGCTGAGGAAGATGTGAGTCCTGTAGCTGAGGAGGATGTGAGTCCTGTAGCTGAGGAGTTTGAGCTAAACGTGGAAGAAGATGAAGGGGACAAACCAGCAGAAGTGGTAGATGAAGTTGAAAACGTAGAAGATGAGAGTAATGAAGACAAAGTTGAAGATGAGGTTGCTGTCGATGAAGAGGAGGAGGAAGCAGAGGAAGAGGTAGACGAAGATGATATTGTTGCAGAGGTTGAAGAGAGTGAAATTGCTGTAGCAGAAGAAGAGAAAACAGGTGAGGAAAAGGCAGAAGAAGACAGTGAAGAGGAAGAAGAAGAAGAGACGATCAGACAAGAGAAACACGAGACCGTCACACTGGACACCACCCCAACACCTGACATCCTCCCCGACAACACATTCGCTTCACTCACTCCCTACGTCTCTGAGAAAAGCACCAAAGCTATCACCGACATGGGCTTCACCCACATGACACCTATCCAGCATAAAACCATCCTGCCTTTACTCAAAGGAAGAGATGTGTTGGGTGCCGCCAAAACAGGATCCGGTAAAACCCTAGCCTTCCTCCTTCCCGCCATTGAGCTGCTGTTCAAGCTGAAGTTTAAGCCTAGGAATGGTACTGGTGTTCTGATTATATCTCCGACGAGGGAACTTGCACTTCAGGTTTGATAATTTCGTCTAGATAATTTTCTCGTTTACTGTACGAAATTGGGTAATTCTGGTTGAATTATTTTTCTTGAAACTTCCGATTCCCGTACATTATTGGAGTCATAATCACCATAACAACCCCATACTCACAGATATACGGTGTGGCACGTGACTTGTTGAAATACCACAGTCATACATTCGGTATCATAATGGGCGGCGCTAACCGGAAAACAGAAGTTGAGAAACTGGGCAAGGGAGTGAACCTGCTGATCGCTACTCCCGGTAGATTGCTGGACCACTTGCAGAACACGAAGAACTTTGTCTTTAGAAATCTCAAGTGTCTCGTTATCGATGAGGCTGACCGAATTCTGGAGGTATGTTATGTTTTCTACTTTTAATAATAACGAACAATCTCTCTGATTTCTGAGTTTATTTTTATATAAAGTAACCGATAAAATCCCGTACCACAGTCTTTGTCTTTTACAGGTAGGGTTTGAAGAGGAGATGAAGCAGATAATTAGGCTGGTCCCTGTCAAGAGACAAAGTATGTTGTTCTCGGCTACACAAACCCGGAATGTAGAGGACCTGGCCCGGATATCTCTCCAGCAGGCTCCTCTCTATGTGGGAGTGGACGATGAGGAGGAGAAGAGCACGGTAGAGGGACTTGAACAGGTTAGAACACGTGACCGATTATGAGACGTGTCATTGGATATCTTTTTATTTGATGAAAACTACGCAGTTTTTTCGATTATTTTGACTAGTACGGGTTTAAAGTTTTACCCAAGAATAAAGACATGCCACAATATGATCCAGATATTGAGATATCGACTCCCCCAGGGATATGTGGTTTGTCCGAGTGATAAGAGGTTTATGTTGTTGTTTACATTCGTCAAGAAGAATAAAGACAAGAAATGTATGGTATTCTTCTCTACATGCAGTGCCGTGAAATACCACGCCGAACTGTTTAACTACATCGACATCCCCGTCAAGGATATCCATGTAGGTACAATTTCTGACAACTCGAAATCAGAACTTATGTGTATCCTCATTTTCATCCACAGTTAAAACTTTGGTTAACAATCATGTTAGAATACTATGTTCGTCTGAAGTCTGATTTAATCGTCTTTGAATCTGATACTCGTCTGTAAAAAAAGGTTTTCATTGTAACAAAGTTACAAATTTATCGTAATGATTCAAGTATTAAAAACCTTCACGTTATACGATGTACAGGGCAAGCAAAAGCAGCAGAAACGAACGACGACATTCTTCGAATTCTGTAACGCCAGTAGCGGTGTTCTGTTTTGTACGGACGTGGCTGCCAGAGGGCTGGACATTCCTGCCGTGGACTGGATCATTCAGTACGATCCACCAGATGATCCTAAGGTATGTACAGTCGCGAATCTGTGTGTTATATGGGTTATTAAAACAGTGTCTCGTTTCAATCTAGAGACCAAAAAACGTGGGGAGAGTACTCCCCTGTGTGGAGGCGACCTGAACGACAGGTCACTGTCCTCCACAAAATTATGTATGCAAACGTAGGATTTATACGGCGATTCCGCACAAGATGTATCGTTGTGTTTCAACTTGTATAGCTATAAGCTCGAACGTTTAGTTGTGCTGGAAATATTAATTCAGAGATTTGCTGATCAATTTAGTAACAAAAATGATGTTATTAAATTGATTTCAATGATTGACAATAAAAACATGCTGAGAGAAGTAGGCAAGAAAATATAACATAACGGAATTTGGGTCAATGTTAAAGCTGGAAATTCTTGGCACTAAAATGATGTGTAATTCAATCAGCGGCTGATAAACCACCCTTCAGGAATACATCCACCGAGTAGGGCGTACAGCTAGGGCAGGTGGAGCAGGAAATGCTCTTCTCTTTTTACTCCCTCAGGAGATCGCATTCCTCAGATACCTCAAACATGCAAAGGTAAGTTCTCAGTCATTGTAATGTTTTCATTATCAATATTCAATGCCACATTATGACTCTGATTCGTGAGCGATTCGTGCAGCAGTTCGACGTTAGTTGACAGGTGTTTTTTACTTTAAGTTTAATGGATATTTTTATCTCCTTCTAATTCTCCTATTTCACAGGTTCCCCTAAACGAATACAACTTTAGTAACAACAAAATCGCTAACGTGCAGACTCAGGTAAGGAATATTTCTAAAATTTAATAATTCCAAGAATTGTAATTTCCTCTATATAATATGGTCTGTCAAAACAGCTATAGGTATTAGGTACAGGGGTAGAAGTAACTACGCACACGCAACCCTATAATAACTCACGTAATTCGTATCTGAATTGCTAAACAACTACAGATAATATAGATATGGGTCAAACTTAGAATTCCTGAAAATTTAGTAAAATTTCATCAATTACAGAGGGTGTGGCACGCCACTCCCTCTTTTTCTCTATTGTCACCAAAAAGTGAGAACGTTTTGAGTTAGGAACTCCAAAATTTCCAGACACATTTGGTTTGATAATTGAAGTGGTTTCCTAAAATTTCAAGTTGGTTGTTCACAACTAAGCCGAGTTATGACCATATATATGTGTCAGTGTGAGTTGTATGATAATATATAACACGACTCTCTTCGCAGCTGGAAAAGCTGATCACAAAGAACTTCTACCTCTTCAAATCGGCGAAGGAAGCTTACAGAGCCTACATCCAAGCCTATGCCTCTCACTCCTTAAAAACAGTTTTCGTGGTCGACAAGTTGGATTTGTCTCTTGTTGCTAAATCTTTTGGATTCCAAGTACCTCCTGCAGTCAATCTCACTGTAAACAGTACCAAACGGAACAGTAAATCAAAAGCAGACAAATTCAGACATAATAAGAAGCAGAAATTTACAAGGACCTAGAAGTGGCGAGGGATTTTTTAGATTAATTTATTGTGCCCTGGGCTGAATTTTAAGATTCATTTATTCTGTTTTAAAGTGTCAGCTGAGTATTGACATGAATTTCAAAGCCAAGAGCGTTGCCTTTAAATACATAACAACGTTTGGTTAAGTAAAATAGCAGTTGCTGAGAATGCGAGTCTCAGAATTGTCCTGTGAAATTTCTTTCATCCTTATTTTCAGGTTTTTATTTGATCATATTTTAACGGTATAGCGCATATCTTCAGTTATTCAGTAGTTGTTGTGGTTTTTACATTAATTTATTGACCTCTTTTACCATTTATCCTGTCTGAAACCGGGGTAATTTTTCTGAGCTGGCGTTTTATTTTTATTACAATTAAACAAGCCATGATGAAACCAATGTATTTCCATACTTCATCGTATCCCCGCAAGGGTTATGCTTTTAATGTCGAAGCTTGGGCTCTTACTGATTCGCTCGCCCAAAATTATCGCGTGATTTTTATAGTTTTGCAGCCGAACTTAACGGTTTTTCATAAACCCTAATCCCAACTATAACCCTGAACATAACCCAAAAGCTATCCATAACCCTAACAAGGTCAAAATTAACGGGTGATAATATATATTTGTATCAAGACCGTCGACGAGTCCAACTCGGCGCGCGTCTTGGTAGGTTATAAACTTGGAGGACTTCGGAGGGCCGCGCAAACTAGCATTCTTGCTTCGCATACTTGTCATACATTGTATGACCCGCCGCGCACGAGTGCGCGGCTCCCCCTGTATCGTCAGGACGATAAAGGACTATAGTGAAACGACCGTGGGGGTCACGACGTGATACAATCTCATACAAGGTCAAAAGGAAATCGCGTCACGTGCGGAATCATGATTTTTCATCACGGATGTTACTCGTCTTCACGTCTTGTAGCGTGATGCGTTACTGGGCCGCGCCGCGCACTTAATTATATGCTTCTCGCTAGAGGTTCCAATTAGAATTAGACCTCTTCAGGAAAACACAACATTCCAGTATATTTATTTCTAGTTCCTAGCAGCCAATAATTCAATTTAATTCCCCTTGATGGTTCCAATTAGAATTAGACCTCTTCAGGAAAACACAACATTCCAGTATATTTATTTCTAGTTCCTAGCAGCCAATAATTCAATTTAATTCCCCTTGATGGTTCCAATTAGAATTAGACCTCTTCAGGAAAACACAACATTCCAGTATATTTATTTCTAGTTCCTAGCAGCCAATAATTCAATTTAATTCCCCTTGATGGTTCCAATTAGAGTGAAACAAGAGTGAAACAAATTTAAAATTTTATCCTTTATTTTACAATCATAATATAATAATATTTATAAGCCTCCGTTTTGAAAGTTTTAAATTTTAATACATTCACATTTCTATTTAAAATTCCATTTTATGTACAAGTCAATAACTGGCCGCCAAAGCCGCGCATTCTTGAAAACAGGATTAACTTGATTATAGTTATACGACTATGTAAATTAAAAACTATCCGTGGTTTTTTCTTTTAAATAAATAAATTATAATTTTACCTAAGTCCAAAGCCAGCTTTGAAAAATTTACTATTAAATCATAATATATCGTCAACTTTAAATATTTACAATGCAACAATTCATTAATCTGTAAACACGCGTACTCCAGCCCCTAAACGCATAAATTGTTATGCGGCGCGGCTCAAGCCGCGCACGCACGTATTATTTTATACTGTTTGCTTTCTAATAAATATCGTGCCAATGTGTACGTCTAAATTGTAAACGTTCATGTTTTGTGTAAAGTGAATCCAATTGGGACTAGTGACAAGGATAAGGACCCAAGTGCCTGTACGGCTTTTTCGGGCCCCTGTGGACCACTACTCTTGAAATCACTCTACAACATTGAACATCTATATCTACTACGTCATTTGGCAATTATTGTCATTAATCTAACTTTCTAATTAATTGCCGAGGGGGAAGAGTAAACGCTTCACATTAAAATTCAATATACAAAATTCAAAACCATCAATACGGTATTAAATATTATGGACAAGTCTATAGATCTATTTCGTAGTCATATATTCACATGATTTGCTTTATATTATATTATCTTAATACTGTAATGAAGTACAGTAGGATTTGTGTTTCGAGAAAGAAAGGTTGCGGTCAAATTATTAACAAAAGTAAACAAAAGTCCATCAGGGACTCTGTGGAGTCGAAAAAGGTACACGGCTGCTGTCTGGTGCTGCTAAGCATTTATTGATCAAGATGTTTTATTGTATTGATTTATAATGATTCTATTGTTCGTGACTAATCAAGTTCTAAGTGGAGGTATAAAGTGCTGCTCAAGATACTTCGTCATCTCATGTCCAGTATAATGATTAAGATAGTATACAATGCAGTTTTAGTAGTTGACCCATACAGTTAAGTCCGTCATAACTCACAATCGTTAAGTCGTCGGTCAATTGTCAAAGTCGTTGTGTGTTTATTCGTTGAGATAGCAGTAAGATAAGATGTTACGCGCGCGCGCGTTTAATCCCGTCGACGTGAAATGTGACAATGAAAACGCAATAGAATTATTATTTTCGCGCGTTACGTAGAGTTTACCAGTGTGTAATACTAGTTAACACTGGGTGTACACTGAGTGTAAGTGTAAGTTTCATATACAAGCCGTTGAATATTTCCAATTTTGAGTGTATCGTGAGCATGTTTTACAGTGCGATTGCTCGGTACTAGTGTGTTTGTGTATATATATATATATCATTTGTGGAGTATGGTGTAAGTAATGTTTTTGGTTGGAGTGCAGTGGTTATATGTGTGAGAAAAGATATATGGTCATTTTAGTAACTCACATAAATCAGAACTTGAGCTCATTTGTGGCAAAATTAAGCTCACACCAATCAAGTGTATCATGCTTGAATTGCAATTCTCGTAAGGCAATTTTCAATATATTCTTAAACCCGTTTGTCGGAGTATTAAAACTTATCTTACTTGATGTTTGTCGACAGCTGTTCCACATGTAGGATGATTGGTAGATGAATTGTGAGGATGGTTGTGATGTAATGAAATAATCCTCTCGTCGTGGTGACCTGTTAAATGATGAGTACAGTGATAATGGTTCCTCTAACTTATTAATTTTGAATAGTTCTAAGAGACAAGTGTACTTGTACAGATTGTGGACCGTCAACAACCTGTGGGTTTTAAACAAGGGCTTGGAGTGTTCTTTTTGGTAAAAGTCCACCCCCAGTCTTTGCTTATCAACAGGTCGTGTTCGGGCACACGTTTTAAACTTCTCTAGGTAAGCTTCTCTATCCCCAAACAGAATTCTTATACACTTTTTCTGTGTTTTAAAGATAGGTTCAAGTCGGTTATTGCTAATACCACCCCACACAGATATTCCAAATCCTAAATGTGATTCAAATAGAGTATGATATAAATCCTTATAATACTGCTTTGGGACAATGTGTCGTATTCTGCACAGCTTTCCTACTTCGCATTTAAGTTTTGAGTTAAGTGACTGCGTATGTGATTTCCAGTTAAGTTGGTCGTCAATAATAACGCCTAGAAATTTAGCTTCTTGAACTCTTTTAATAACTACATTATTTAAAGTTAGTATGTTCTCGTCATTTTCTACTTCCTCTTTGGCCCGTGAGGGTTTAAAATGAATAAAACAACATTTCTTAATGTTAATATGTAATAAGTTTAGTTTCATATACTTGTACACAAATGATAGAACTTCATTTCCTTTTTCGTATAGTCTTTTGACACATGTGTCTTCTATAAATATGTTAGTGTCGTCGGCAAATAGTATAAACTTTCCTATAATTGATGAGTTACGGATGTCATTAATATAAATAATAAAAAGTAAGGGACCAAGACAGCTCCCCTGCGGCACTCCATAGACTACTGGAAGTTTCTCGGATTCTTCACCTAATACCGAGACATACTGGTATCTGTTCGACAGGTAACTTGCTATAAGGTTATTTGCATTTCCACGGATTCCATAATTTTCTAACTTATGCAGTAACTTTTCATGTGATATTGTATCAAAGGCTTTACTAAGATCAATAAATATTCCAAGAACGTGTTGTTTTTTCTTGAGGCAAGATTCTACGTGGTTCACTGAGTAATTTAGGGCATAACTGGTCGAGTGATTTTTACGGAATCCGTACTGGTTTTCATATAAGGAGTTCTGTGAATGAAAGAAGCTGTATAATCTATTGAATATAATCTTTTCAAATATTTTACCAAACACAGCTAGCGTTGATACAGGTCTATAGTTTTCAAGGAGTTCCTGGTTATCTTTCTTGTAAATGGGACTAATCCTTCCAACTTTAAGGTCATCTGGAAATATGCCATCTTTCATACATTCGTTATACAGTACAGTGAGTAAAGGAGTAACTATTTTAGAGGACTGCTTAATTACATGAATCGGTATGTCACTTGCCTTGCCATTTTTAAGTTCAGATATGATTTTGCTAACCTCGTCTGTTGTGCAGTCATGCATGTAAATGCTGGAAGTGTTTGAAGAATTAGACCTCTTCAGGAAAACACAGTATTCCAGTATATTTATTTCTAGTTCCTAGCAGCCAATAATTCAATTTAATTCCCCTTGATGGTTCCAATTAGAATTAGACCTCTTCAGGAAAACACAACATTCCAGTATATTTATTTCTAGTTCCTAGCAGCCAATAATTCAATTTAATTCCCCTTGATGGTTCCAATTAGAATTAGACCTCTTCAGGAAAACACAGTATTCCAGTATATTTATTTCTAGTTCCTAGCAGCCAATAATTCAATTTAATTCCCCTTGATGGTTCCAATTAGAATTAGACCTCTTCAGGAAAACACAACATTCCAGTATATTTATTTCTAGTTCCTAGCAGCCAATAATTCAATTTAATTCCCCTTGATGGTTCCAATTATAATTAGACCTCTTCAGGAAAACACAACATTCCAGTATATTTATTTCTAGTTCCTAGCAGCCAATAATTCAATTTAATTCCCCTTCATGGTTCCAATTAGAATTAGACCTCTTCAGGAAAACACAGTATTCCAGTATATTTATTTCTAGTTCCTAGCAGCCAATATAAATAATTTAATTCCCCTTGATGGTTCCAATTAGAATTAGACCTCTTCAGGAAAACACAACATTCCAGTATATTTATTTCTAGTTCCTAGCAGCCAATAATTCAATTTAATTCCCCTTGATGGTTCCAATTAGAATTAGACCTCTTCAGGAAAACACAACATTCCAGTATATTTATTTCTAGTTCCTAGCAGCCAATAATTCAATTTAATTCCCCTTGATGGTTCCAATTAGAATTAGACCTCTTCAGGAAAACACAGTATTCCAGTATA